ATTGATGGATGGATGGATCGAAGGGGATCTTCGGAAAGGTTTAATGGATCATGATGAAATTTGACAATAACGTAGAACATAGTCGGGAAGAATACATAGGCTAATTATAAAGTTTTTTTTATTCCATGCGGACGTTGTTGCAGGCGACAGCTAGTTAGAAATAAAATAATTAAATTAAGGCATTAACCAATTATACTTAAACCACCAGGACAAAGGAAACATCAAGTTATTTATATGTTTTTTTTGTTTTCTTCTTCAATTCACCTTTTGTTAACTTATTTAAGTTATTAAGTAGGTAAGTAATATTTAACTTAGTTTGAACCGAATAGAAATGTTAGGATTAAAATAATAATAGCGAATATGAATAAACATCATAGAAATGCTTTGTTTTCCTAATTCAAAAATAGATTAATAAAAGTAACAGATATCCATTGGTTCCAAGAAGGAAATAATTAAATGAGTACAACGTTATCAAAATATAACAACTAAAATTATTTTAAGATTGAGTTTTTACCCTAAATTACGTGTTCTAAAATAGTAGTCGTCCGCGAATTTATCAAGGGTTATAACCTTTAATTGAGTTAAGTGTCCTACTGATAAGATAGTGTTCATCAACAGTATAGTTTAGTAATCTTTATAGAATAACTAGCTGTCGCTCGTGACTCCGTCCGCACGTAGTTAAAAAAACTTAGTAGCGTGTATGTTCTAGACTATGTTCTACATCTATGCCAAACAGCGTGATTTTTGCAACCGTTCTAGAAATATTTTCAAACAACATCCATCCATTTAAACATTCGCATTTAAAATATTACTAGTTGTCGGTAATATTGGTAGCCTATATATGTATGTTCTTCCAGGCTATGTTCTACATCTATGTCAAATTTCAGCGAGATACCTTCAAACAAACATCCATCCTTCCATCTAAACATTGCATTTATAATATTAGTAAGATATGTTTGATCACCATCCATAATATTATATAAAAGATATGAAAAGTGAATACCAACAAGTAATAAGCGACCGATTCGCTAATCAGTTGTTAATGAGCATCTTTTTTTAATATTAAGATGTTTTTTTAGGTCATGAGGCTACGAGATGATAACGGATTGTTGTTACCACTTGATATGTTGTACCAAATAAAAAAAAACTTAAATGATAATAGCGCAGTGCAAAGGTTACCGTAACATCAGATTGTCAAACCGAAACGGGACCTGCTTTTCATTTAAATTGTAATAAAACTTCCCGTAGTTACAATATATCATCAGTTATTAAGACTTTCAGATATTAAAATATAAATAATAAAAGTACATAGACTTTTATTGTTACTTCGTAAATTTATTGAAATGGGCACTGATTCCACTTTTTAAAATTAGTTCACTGGTCTTTATTTGATACTAGTAGTCGCCCGCGTCTTCGTCCGCACAAATAATAAATACTTAATAAATCGCCTCTGTGTTCTTCTAGTCTATGTTCTACATCTATGTCAAATTTCATCGTGATCCACGCAGCCGTTCTGGAGATACCTTCAAACAAACATCCATCCCTCTAAACATTTACATTTATAATATTAGTAAGATAAAAACTCATTTAGCCGAATATGGTGTAAAACCCATTTCTGGGCGAAAATTTTAAAATGTGAAACATAGGAATAACTCTTTATTTAAAAAAAAAAATGATCAAATATTTCATTGAGATGCGTTTCAATTTTCCATAAAAATCGAAACGGACTTCCCGGTCAACCGAATAAATACGAGTATATAAAAGACATTCATTATCATCCGATGTATCTGTTTGTTGCCAAGCTCATGGTTCCTTTTATTAATTACAATTACAGTAATAGACATTTAGGTCATTGTTATAGATTATTAAAATATTACTAAAGCTGAAAGTTTACTGGACTTTTTGTCATAAACAAAAGTCGGATGGACGTTTCTAACCACTGGTTTATATAACTGCCACGTGCAGAGACGTTAAGTGATCAAAAGGAAGCAGATTTCAGAAGATTTAATGTGATCCATTTATAATACAATAATATAAAGCGACTGTTTAGATAATCATCAAAATATTGTGCTTAAAGTACAATGTTTTATTGTCTGCAAATAGACGTTTTCAGTCATTTTTTTTTCGTCGTAAATCGTTTTTTTCCCCTTTTTTTCTGTGTTTAACAAAATTATAGATTACAAATGTTTATTTAATGTATGTAAATGTAGTGTTTCTCTAAACTATTGTCATTTTTCGATATAGTTCATTATGAAAAAGGTTTTAATTTTTTTTTCAACGATAGTCGAATTATTTTAAGATAAGTTTCTTATTGTAAAGGTCTATTACTCAAGATTCTATTTGTTTATTTTGAAGTTAATAGATGAAGTACTGAAGTGGTATTTCACAACTGTCGATAAGTCAGTAGCGTTGTGTGACGTACCCTTGAAATTATCACAGAGATTTTAATATTAAGTTTATAATTGGATGATATTAACGGAGTAGTTTTATATTTTTGATAGCCTTTGTGTCCAATTATCTTATCGCCTCAATTTTAACTTAAAAGTTATCAAATGTCATTTTTAATGAACACTGAAAACATACATCGAAATTACCATATCACATTCCGGATAATATACATTAAATAAATCAAACATTGTAACAATAATTGAAGTTTTATTAATAAACATTACTACATTTACAAAAAGTTATTATATTATAAGATTTGTTAACATAAAACTTGATTTGTTCAAATGTTTACTTTATACTTTTAAAACATAGCAATACCTGGATATTGCGACGTAATTATTAATTCTATGTTCATAGGTTACTTAACTATTTGATATTATTTAATCAGTCTGTTTTTTATAAGCATATTTTTTTTCGTTATAAATTTGAAACAGTCCATAATTTTATGAAAACTTTTATTTTAGTGTTTATAACAACTCTGTTGATTTTATTAATTTTGAAGTGTGACTATCTTAAATGGCTTCACACAATATGCTAAATAGACTCGGATAGACTGGCTACAACCAAGGGATGAAATTAGGATGCTTAACTGTCTGATTGCGTGCAACACTTAGGGTTGTTGAAGGCTAAAGCTCAGATGTGTAGACGGTGTAAATGGTTACGTAAAAATATTGGCATAGAAAATTGGAGATCAATTGTCAAGAATAGATCAATGAAATGATCATGAAAGATGGAAAATATTGCTCTACCAAGTGAAAGTTATGTAGAGTTAAAGAAGAATAATAAAGAGCCAACGAATTCTGATATCCTTCCAAATGTAGACCTATAAAAATCAAATCAAGATTTAATATAAATTATGTATAAACGTGTGTTTTCATTGTCAAAACACGAATACGAAATTTTTTTTTCGTACCGTTTTTCTCTTTGAATAAAATAAAACAGAGATAGTATGTTTTGTACCTATAGAAGTTTCAGATTGGTAATAATGTTAAAATGAGTAGAGTTCAAGTTTCTCTCTCGGGTTTTTTCACCGTGTACATGAGACAAATAGGCAACTCTTGACATCGCTTTTCTATATTTAGTACCAAATTAGATCATGAAAAATTGAAAACTCTTTTAATGTAAGTACCGAATCCCTGGTTCAGTTGTTAAACTAAAGCTCTATAGTGCGGTAGAAAATTCTTATATTTTCTTTATCGATTATGGTTATTGTTATCGATGAGTACGACCATTTGTTTGTCGTGCTTCGACTCTTTTAGCAAAGACAGCACGCTATATCTAAATCAAATAAATATTTATTTTCCAGAAAATTTTCCACACTAATTCATAATTAAGTTGCAATCTTCCGCGTGCAATACGCGTCGGTATTTTCCCTCAAATAAAAAAGGCAAGTTTTACTTAATCTGTCTTAAAATATAGACGTTCAAGAAATTCAATATTTATCAATCAGAGAAATTATAAACTCTACATCGCTCTCCTTCTAGGAATCTGAAAATTTTAGGTGGTGTTGATAGTTGGTTTCTTGTTTAGAAATTCCGTTGTTAATTTTTCAAAATTCAAAATTTCAAAATATAAAATTAGAACAAAGCCAGCACGGTCAACTTCTATAGCTGAAATATTGAAAATACAAAGACCGTTGGGGAATATAAAAGCAGAAAATTAACCAATCCAGATGTAATTTACCATTTCTAGTGGCAAATGAGCAAGGTCACCCGATGTCAAGTGACCGCGTCTGCAACTAATGCTAAAGAGTTGTTTCTAACTTACGTGGTCCCTCAATGAATTAAGAAATAGTAAAATATATTATTTTGTTTTCTTTCTTCCATCTCCTTTTCAACCCAATTAATCAACTTTTACTTTCTATTCTTTTTTTATTAGAAAAGGGACAGAGGAACAAGCGGATTAGAATTAAACTCTAAACTAAAGGAGATAACGAAACCATAGGACTCCGAATAAGAATGTAAGCTTTGACATAAAGTTTATATAAGTAAAATATGTAAGTAAATATTTAACAATAAATTAAAACATCTTATTAGAGATTTGTTTTTGTTGTAAGTTTAAGTCACGATCATGATCGTGGCAGTGAGCTTTTATGTAATGTACTGATAATGTTAAAAAGTTCAATAGGCAAGTTACTATCTCGAACAACTTCCAAGGGCTTCAGGCCCCGCAAAACAATAAGTTCAATCTACTCGATGTAACGTTTAGATGTGTTACAAATCTGAAAAATTTACAAACAAAACAGAGATCGGTAAATTGTCGCACGCGTTGATGTCTTTTTATAACAAATTCGATTGGAGTGCAATTTGGCCGAGTCATATGCTGTTATATAGTTGTACTTACGGCTGAGGTTGGCTGCGGGATCCAGTACAGCAGCAGGATGACGGTGACAAAGAGGTGGAGCACTTTGGTGCGCGCACGCGCCGGACCCGACATGGCTGCGCCGCGCTACTGGTGGCGGCGAGCGCTGCTGGCCGCCGTTAGGGCGGCGCGGGGGCAGCGCGGGGTAGTGCGGGGTGGCGCGCGGCAGGCGGGGCGGGGCGCGCAGGCCACCGCCAGCCGCTTCTCGCTCCTTAGTATCCCGGCACGAACGGCGCGCGCGCACGGGACAAACGCGCAGCGCGCTCCGTGCCATGGCGCTCCACGTACTTTGGTAACTTTTTAAACTTTAAATATTTTATTTCCTTCTTTTAAAACTTATAATTTTTTTTAATCATTTTTTATAAACGGATCATCAGAATATATTTATTTATAGCTATTTATTCTATGGTATTTCAATATTATATTTATATAATATTTTAATAATTAACTGAAAATTCACAACTGAGTGGCCTGATTTTCATATCTTTTAATCAGGTTGGTGGCTGTATTGGCGCCTTTAACAGGAGTAATAACGGTAAGTAAGATTTTATTTTTTCTATGCTTAACTAAAACTATTTTGTTCATTCTGAAATTTAAAGTCAATATTAAGCAAAAACTGTGCGGAATCGGGAATGACGGAGGAGGCAGGCGCAGGCGCGTCCCGACTCGCCGGTTCGCTTGTTTTATTCCTTTTGCAATTTCTTCAAAACGCGAACTAAATCAAGGCTTTGACGGACACTCAAATTAAACGAGTTAGAAATAAGTAAAATTTTGAATGATAGAGCTTTTTCAAGTAAACTTTTGATTTAACAAAATGTAACATTTGATTTACTTATATACATAGTATTTATGTTGTTTACATATATAGTATGTAAATCATTTGTAAGCGCGATGTGGACACCGACAAAGTTTATCATCGGATGCAGTGCCCCCACATTGCGCAAACTGCGCCTCGCTCGCTACAATTATTTTTAATTTAATTACTAATATAGATTGTGTATCGAATTTTTTGTTAAGTAGATTATAAAAGTATATTTTTTTTCATTAAAATTAAATTATATTCTAAGTGGTAACAATATTTGCTATATAAAACTTACGTTTTTTAGCTGCTAAATGTTTCTGTAAGTTTATTAATTTAGTTCGATATTCACCTAATACTACTCCAAACTATGGACTAGCCAAAAGTCAAAGGAGTAATTTTTTTGGGCATAAATTTTACGGCGGCGTAAAATTATCAAAAATAAATATTAATAAAGATATTATTGCAGTCAATTTATTTTTGTGAAGGCTAAATACAATCATAACATTTCAAATAATAGAAGATGTCTTGTTGCGGTTCAATACATTTAGATATGGCCGATAACCTCAAAATTAATGATAATTTTGTTCAATATTCAGTATATTCCGCTAAAATACGTTAAAACTTTATTGTTACGAATTCAGTGATTTTACTGTTCTTCACTAAGACTGGTGAGCCTAAATCCCAAGAAAGAATTTTTTTCCTACAGGATTTTTTCCATTCTTAAAATAAAAAAAATATGCAGGAAAGACGCTTTATAATTTATAGTCAGTGTCAAATTTATCATCTCGCTGGCCTTTGTACCAATGATTTTAATTAGTAGGTACTAAGCGACTGAAAGACATAAAGTGAAGCATAAGTTCTATAAAAATATGTTACGAAACTATGGTGTCATCTTACAAGCAAATGCAAACGTAGAGAAATGTGGCATATCAAATTATGCTAGTAATACCTAACGTTGTTCATTAGATTTCTGTGAATTGCGCATTGTACTTATTCAATTGTATTAGATACACATAAAATATCCTTCATCTTTGATGCCACACCATGAAGATAGGCAATCACGGCAGCTCGAACTTTCAACGCGGTTATTTTTACCAATTTGTCAGTACCTTTCGCCGAATCGTCTGTGAAGAGCAGCCGCTGTGAGAGTTCGAAATGTCAGAACAGGGTGAATAATAATGTAATAATAAATATAAAATAGTTATTATTACATTATATTATATATATATTACCCTCATAACGTTATGACAAATATAGACAGTAAATGTTATATTTTATTACAAGTATTTTGGTAATGGAATTTTACAATTGACTTAACATTTTATGACATAAAATTATGTTTTATATTGAGTATAGATATTTCTTATAAGAGACTTAGCCATTTTAATTAAATGTTTTAAGATAAAAACATGCTGTAATTAACTTTTTTTAATGTTTATAAAATATATGTTTCAGACAATAATCATTTATGTTTAATAATTAAAATGATCAAAAACATTGATTATTTTTTGTATTACTTGTTTTGTAAGGGCATGTTTTTGCTCTTGTATTGAAGTTGACGGCTCAGAAGCTTTCTTCTCTTATCTTTTATACTATGACTACGGCGGCAAAAAAGTTCAGGTATATATTTTTCTTGCAGCAAGATGATGGTTGGATGGACGTTAACGACATAAATGCAAGCCGTTGGCCGCCGACCGATTGGTATGGTACCCGGAACCAACCATCGCCGCCCTCGCCGACGGATTGGTACGGTGCGCGTAATGATCCGCGCAATGATCCGCGCAGTGATCCGCGCAGTGATCCGCGCAGTGATCCCCGCAATGACCCTCGCCCAGAACCTCCTGCGCCTACAAGATATTACGGGCTGTCAGGGCGGCCAGACGTTCCCGCGCCACGACCGCCGCCCAGCCCAGGCCTTAACTTCGCTGTATACGACCCTGTAACGCGGCAGCGCACCACCGCTGTGGACCGGAATTGTACGGCGCCCGGTTGCTGTGTACCAAAATGTTTTGCTGAAAAGGGATCAAGAGTAAGTCACATTATAGATACACTTTAAGCTTAAATTTCTTTCATATATCAACAAAAGCTAAACGTTACCTCGGATACCGTCTAGGTTTGGTCTAATTTTCAGGACACAAATCTAAATGTATTCATCTATCATCCTCTAATTTTTTTATTCGTGTTAGCATGGGAGGTAATGTATTTTTGCGCCTTCGTGGTGTGTTTGTATGTACTAATGTATTAGCTAATTTATTAGTTTGTATGTGTAATGGTTTTAATATTTCTTCGCAGGGTTTTCCAGGTATTGCAGGTCCACCGGGAATGAGAGGTCTCCCTGGTCACGAAGGTGCTGAAGGCCCGCAAGGACCAAAGGGACAAAAAGGACAGTTGGGTCCACAGGGTCCTCGAGGTCCAAAGGGCGATAGAGGTAAACCTGGAGCTCAAGGTTTTATTGGTCTCACCGGACCGCCGGGACCACAAGGAGAAACTGGAATTCCCGGTATACCAGGAAGAGATGGCTGTAATGGAACAGATGTAAGTATTTAACTTTTTTTCTAACAACTACAAACTACGCCACCAGAACATCTGCTTACCTTTGATTTAAAATTAGGGTGAACCGGGAGAATCAGGTCCCAAGGGTTCGCAAGGGCCCCGGGGTATCGGGGGACCAAAGGGAGATAAAGGAGACAAGGGAGAAGCAGCTCATATGGGCCGATATCCCAAAGGACAGAAAGGAGAACCTGGAGCTGATGGTATGCAAGGTAGTCAAGGACCTGTCGGACCACCAGGACCTTCTGGATTACAAGGACCAAAAGGAAATACGGGTCCAATGGTAAGCCATAAATTTAACAATTTAAATATTTTTAAATTGATTTTTATATTTCATATCTTTATTTTAAAAAATGGGTTATATATTTTACTTCCTTTAGGGACAACAAGGATTTAAAGGAGATAAGGGCACTAAAGGTTCAAGGGGTCAATCGATTCAAGGAGACAAGGGAGATAGGGGGGATCGAGGTGACAAAGGGCCAGGTTGTCCTCCGATTATATTGCCTTGGGAGGATAATAAAAGCGCGATCAGAGGAGTTCCAGGTGATATGGGACCAAAAGGAGAGAAAGGAGAGCCCGGAAAATTTGGCGAGAAGGGGGATACTGGTCCTGTAGGTGAACCAGGTTTATCAGGACAAATGGGAATTAAAGGAGAGAAAGGCATTAGAGGAAATCCCGGAGCAATAGTAAGTTATAATTTTTGGTGTGCCATACAAACTAAGGTCAATCGTAGTCACACAACATTATATGAGACACATTGCTATATGAAAATAGGTAATTACAATAATATCAACATTAGTATCAAATCATGCCATTCAGACTATATCGGTGGAATGATAGGTTTTTATGGGGAAATATACTTTATTCTTTATTTTTATAAGGATTCTATGAACATTACATACTCATAGCAAACTACTTACAAAATAATTATAACTAAAAGAGCCAGTAAAAACAAAAATTCTCATAATAATAATAATAATAACAAGAAATGTATTTACTAACTTATAAGGCTTTTAGCACTATGCTGAGAACTAAGGTCCGACAATGGTTGGGCCAAGGCAGACAGGGTAGACAATATTGAACGAAAATATTATTCGTTTAGCAGAATTACTTGAAAATTACATTATTTTTATTAAATAATACAAAATTTCAAATCCAAATTATAGAATAGTTATTCAAGTTTAGTAATTACATTCATACTCTATATGAACAAAGTCGCGGGAGTCACCAAGTTAGAAAATGTATATGACATAAAACATACTTGTAAAACTTTCAGGGAAGAGATGGTATGTATGGCGCTCCAGGACCAATGGGACAAAAGGGAGACAGAGGTAATGATGGACTTGCAGGATTACCAGGACGCCCAGGTGGAAAGGGAGAACCTGGAAGGGATGGGTTACCAGGACAAAGAGGTCTTAAAGGTGTGCAAGGATTACCCGGTGGGCGCACTGGATCTCGCGGCCCGCCAGGTCCTGCAGGACCCAGAGGTTATATGGGCCCAGCGGGACCAAAAGGTACAGACGGAAGACCTGGGGAACGGGGAGAATCAGGTCCAATTGGAGCTCCGGGTGGTCAAGGAGAACCAGGAACACCAGGCATAGAAGGACCTGCTGGTCATAAGGGAGAAAAGGGAGAGCCTGGCTTGGATGGGCCTCAAGGAGAAGTTGGTGCTAGAGGTTATGATGGACCAGTTGGCCCACAAGGACCAAGAGGATTTAAAGGCGAAGACGGTTATTCGATCCCCGTAAGTGACTTTTTTACATGTATATTTTTAATTTTTTAGTGTGCAAGAACAAATACACTTATTTATGCGACTACCAAACATTTTTCCTGATACACAAGTTGAGCCGAGCTGTAGTCAATTTGAGGATGCTCAAAAGTGGTTAAATGCTTCTCAGTCGTAGAATGTTTTTGGTTTCAGTTCAGTTAACAACTGTGAGCAATGGATACTTTTGGAAAGTTCCTAGGTGTTACATTAGTAGTAAGTAAATAGCATAAGCATATTTAAATTTTGCCATTTACATTATTTATCAGGGTGATAAAGGCATGAGTGGTCGTCCCGGAATACCTGGAGAAAGAGGACAAAAAGGTGAACGAGGTTATCCCGGATTACGTGGTGTACCCGGAAATTCCACATTGGGAACTCCTGGAAGCCCGGGAGAAATGGGTGCTCCGGGAGAGAAGGGAGATAAAGGTACTCCTGGTACTGATGGCACACCTGGAACTTCTGGACCTAAAGGTGACATAGGTGGCCGTTGTAATGAATGTTGGCCTGGCGGTCCGGGTGAGAAGGGTGATCGTGGTGAAGACGGATTCCCGGGCGAAAGGGGGGAAAGAGGACCTTCAGGTCCTGTAGGCCTACCAGGTGAACGTGGCGCGGATGGGTTAAATGGATTACCCGGTTCAGCAGGCGCTCCCGTACGTATTACTTTATTTCTATTCATATCAGTAGTAAACTTTTAAACAAGACCGTGCTCTTTCCACGACTGAGTTTTCGGTTATTCTTATTGTTTGTGATGATGTTCTACCATATTTGTCAGATATATCATAATACTATTATCAATGCTGGATGGATGAATGAATGTTTGAAGGTGTCTCATGAACGGTTTGAAATCTGTAAAAACATAGTCTGGAAGAGCATATAGGCTACTAATAGTAGTAGGCGTTTTTTATTCCGCGGGGAAGTAGTCGCGGGCGATAAGCTAGTATACCCTAAAACACAATTTAAATCAATATTAAATTCTTCTGATAACAGACACATTTATTTGCATAGGAGTTAATATTAAAACGAAAAAAAACGTCCTAAATAACATGTAAGTTTTAAATGCTTTTTCAAATTGTGGTTATTGTGAGAAAACCAAATAAGACAGATGAGAGATGCAATTCCTGACTTTTTTGCGGCACTTTTTAAGATCAATATAATTTTAATATGGCATAAAAAGTCAAATTTTGATGGGTTCACAAATATCTACGTTGTTTATTCTATTACTCAATGATATGTTAAGTAATTCATTATTGGATATCTACAAAGGTAGAAGGAGACCAATGGAAGTATGGATGGATTGTGTGAAAGACGCTGTACGTAAGAATCGAGTGATTTCAGGAATGACGGCTTATAAGATATATGAAAGAGTAGTACATGATGTGTTGACCCTCCGTAGGCATTAATAGCAGGATGGTGATATGGTTTTACAAGACTGGATGAATCATTTAACATTTTTTAAATATTGTGTTTATAGGGCGAACGCGGTGACGAGGGCCCTATGGGTCCACCTGGAGATAAAGGCGCCGATGCTATTATACCATCAAGCTTGATAAAGGGACCTCCTGGAGAAAAGGGACTACAAGGGCCGAGAGGCCCACCAGGCCCAAAAGGTGAAAGAGGAAGCGATGGCTTTAAAGGCGATCGTGGTCAGATTGGTATGCCTGGACATAAGGGAGATCAAGGCTTTTTGGGACCGCCTGGCGCGGATGGTATTCCTGGAATTCCTGGGACTCCTGGAGTACCTGGTGCCAAAGGTGCTTCAGTTAAAGGAGAAAAGGGAACTCCTGGTGATGTAGGTCAAAAGGGTGATAAAGGATTCCCAGGAATCTTAGGAAGGAAAGGAGAACCTGGCATGTGTCCGGCAAATCTACTAGAGTTAACCAAGGGTGATAGGGGAGCTCAAGGACCACCAGGACCTCAAGGATTACCAGGTAACTAAACGGACAATAAAATATTCATTAAGTTATTGATAAAACATAGAAATGAACATGAATTCGAAATAAAAATGTTCGGTAATCTTTTAATTCGACACTTACATGGAAACACGTACACATTGAGTTCGTACTCACACATATACACATCGAGTTGTAAAGTTAAATCGCGACTTCGGTCGCGCGATATTAGAAAAAGATCAATAGTTTTTGGACAAAATTATAGGTGCTTACAAAATTTGATAAGAATTGGTTCAGTACTTTTGGAGTTTATCGCGAAAACGCGTCGTGACATGAAATTAATTTATATCTCCAGACGAATTACGATATGGCAAATGCACGGTGTAATCAAGTTATTCTGACATCGTGAGCTAAGCTAACCCCATATTTCAATTTTGTTTTGCATTTTTTTCTTCTTATATTTGATCAATATCGTCAACAGAAAACGCAATTAATTTTTTGCGATTATTGTTATAAGTTTCTACTTACATTGATGAATTTCTTTGGAGTGTTATTTGTATCTAAGAAATCGTGTTATTTATTTTACAGGTGACATAGGTGAAAAAGGAGATAAAGGTTTCTCAGGTCGCCCTGGAGATAAGGGTGATATGGGGTTAGTTGGAAGACCGGGTCCAGTTGGACCTCGTGGACTTCCTGGACCAAGAGGTGAAAAAGGTGATATGGGTAGTATGGGCTTCCCCGGAACACCTGGCGAATTCGGCCCTAGAGGATTCCCCGGAATTCCTGGGCTAAAAGGAGATAAGGGTGAAATTGGTCCTTCCATGCCTGGTCCTCCTGGACCTGCAGGTCTAACTGGAGAAAAAGGAGACCAGGGACCAAGAGGAATATCTGGACTACCTGGAAATGACGGACCACCGGGAGCAATGGGCTTACCAGGTGAAAAGGGAGAAATGGGATTATTTGGAAGGCAGGGAAGTCCAGGACTCCCAGGACAGAAAGGTGATGATGGCCCTATTGGTCCTCCTGGCGTACCAGGTCTGCCAGGTACACCTGGGAGGGAGGGTCCTAAAGGACAGCAAGGATATCCCGGCATTCCAGGTAAATCAGGAGTTATAGGCTTGCCTGGCAAAAAAGGAGAACCTGGCCTGCAGGGGCCTGATGGCCCTAAAGGTTTCCCTGGAGCTCGTGGTCGTCCAGGTCCCAGAGGCATAACGGGGGTAGATGGCATGCCAGGGGATAAAGGAGATAAGGGAGAATTAGGTTTTCCGGGCATACCTGGAGTAGCAGGCCCTGCCGGACCCATTGGCCCCGTAGGTGTCCCTGGTCTCAAGGGCGATCAAGGTTTTGACGGACCAGCTGGAACGCCAGGAAGAACAGGCTTATCTGGAGATAAGGGTGATAGAGGTTTTCCAGGTATTCCTGGCCCCAAAGGTGAACCAGGTTTAGCAGCAGACAAAGGTGACAAAGGCGACCAAGGTTTACCTGGTTTGAGAGGTTTGGATGGAGCTCCAGGAATGACAGGCGACAAAGGAGATAAAGGGAATGCTGGTTTACCGGGTTACGGTCTACAGGGAACGCCCGGACAAAAAGGTGACACGGGTCCTCAAGGATTCAATGGCTTACCTGGATTACCAGGTGTTAAAGGGGATCGGGGATACCCTGGTGTACGAGGCCAGAAAGGCGAAAGAGGCATTGCAGGGGAACCTGGCAGACCAGGCACACCAGGTATTGATGGAATGCCTGGGTCAGTTGGTGAGCCGGGATTCCCCGGGCTGCAAGGTGAAAAAGGTGATAAAGGAGACAGGGGCTTCCCTGGACCTGATGGATTAGATGGTCTTAAAGGAGAACGAGGTCCTGTTGGCCCTGTTGGTCTACCAGGACTAAGAGGAGACAAAGGATTGAAAGGCGATCTGGGTCTACCTGGAATATCAATTGACATTAAGGGAGATAAAGGAGATACAGGCCCTCAAGGAAATCCTGGTTTTAGTGGAGAGAAAGGAGATGCCGGTAGAGATGGAGAGCGAGGCTTACAAGGAGAAAAGGGAGATCAAGGATTTACGGGACAAAAGGGAGAGCGGGGAAGAACTGGATTTACAGGAGAAAGAGGTAAAATTTATATAAGTATCATATTCTATCAACCCTTCGTCGTAGTAAAAAGATTATTTTTTGATAGTTGCGAATGCGGTATCATTTCTTATTAATTTTTTAAAGATATTTCTCTATTTTAATTTTATTAGATAGCCGGAGTGAGTCCTTTTTTTTAAATACCACTTCTAATTCTTTTGCTTTTTCTCATTCATTTTAATATTAAGCTTTCAAAGCCTACTGGAAACAAGAAGAAAACCTTTAACTACCTATGTTTTATTGTATTATAACAAACCTTTTATTGCAGGAGAAAGAGGTCCTATTGGTCCATCTGGCATCCCTGGACTTACAATCAAAGGAGAAAAAGGATTACCTGGAACACCTGGCAAACATGGACGTCCTGGCCAACAAGGTGCTCATGGTGAGAAAGGAGAAATAGGATTCCCTGGTCTTCCAGGTCCAATGGGTCTACCGGGGCTTTCTGCTCCACCAGGGCAACGGGGAGAGAAAGGAGAACAAGGACTAGAAGGAGCTGCTGGACCACCCGGCGTTGACGGTGTACCAGGTGTACCAGGATTACCTGGAATTGAAGGACCAAAAGGTGATAAAGGAGACAAAGGAGCAACTGGATTTGGCTTACCGGGCCAAAAGGGTGATCAAGGAGCACCTGGTATACCTGGAATTATAGGCGAAAAAGGAGCTAAAGGGGAGCGTGGTTTTGATGGACTACACGGTCAAACAGGCGCAATTGGTTTACAAGGGGAGAAAGGTGATAGAGGATATCCTGGTGCGCCAGGTTTGATTGGTATGGCTGGTGAAAAGGGCGACAAGGGCGAAGATGCAGAGTTTATTTTAGGAGAAAAGGGGGTAACAGGACCTCGTGGTCCTCCTGGGTTCGACGGTCTACCAGGCAATCCTGGACCACCAGGTGTGCCAGGCATAGACGGCACTCCAGGAATGAAAGGTGATCGTGGTTATCCAGGTCCTCAAGGTCCTCCAGGCATACCCGGACCGCAAGGTATTCAAGGTTTACAAGGTGAAAGAGGTGAAACTGGTCGTACCGGTGCCACTGGGATTCCCGGAACTCCAGGGGCTCCATGTGTTACAACTGATTATTTGACGGGTATTCTCTTAGTTAGGCACAGCCAGAGTGACGCAGTACCACAATGTGAAGCTGGCCACGTCAAGTTATGGGACGGATACTCCTTACTTTACATCGACGGCAATGAAAAGGCCCACAACCAAGATTTGGGTTACGCCGGCTCATGTGTCCGTAAATTCAGTACGATGCCTTTCCTATTTTGCGACCTTAATGATGTTTGTAATTATGCTAGTCGCAACGACCGAAGCTACTGGCTGTCCACTGGCCAACCAATTCCAATGATGCCAGTTGAAGGCAATGAAATAATGCGATACATATCAAGATGCGTGGTTTGCGAAGTGCCAGCAAACGTTATAGCAGTACACAGTCAAACACTGGACATTCCGAGCTGCCCGGCGGGTTGGCGAGAACTATGGATCGGTTACAGCTTTGTCATGGTGAGTTATCTCTTTAATTATTTTGTACAATGTATACAACTATTTAATATTTCAAAAACCAAGCAGCTAAACTAAAAAAATAGCATTACATCTATTTCCTATATGTTTGGTAAACATTTTATTTACCTAATTTAATTCCGTTTTATCAATTTCGATGGTACAATTATAATAAAAATCAAATGACGGGATAAATTAAAAATAAACGTACATACATGTGATAGAATAATTTATAATACGTTTTTTTAGCACACGGGAGCGGGTGGTCAAGGTGGCGGCCAAGCATTGGCTAGTCCTGGGTCATGTCTCGAAGATTTCCGCTCTACGCCGTTTATTGAATGTAACGGAGAGGGCGGCACTTGTCATCACTTTGCCAACAAACTTAGCTTCTGGCTCACGATTATTGAAGACAATAAACAATTCGCAAAACCTGAACGTGACACACTTAAATCTGGACGATTATTGGAGCGTGTCTCGCGGTGCTCCGTTTGCATAAAAAATACCGTTTAATTAGTGTAAACAACAACAGAATACAATAAATTACGAAAAGCAACTTCAAGCCCGAGTATGTTCAAATGAGTCGAACGCAAAACATAGATATATTAAAATTATTTCTACTTTACCATATTTCCAAATTAACTTTAAAATTTTACCATAATCGCGCTTTTTATATAAGTTGATGTACGATAAGCGGTTCCTTGTATTTCTTCACGTTATCTACGTGAATATACACCAAAGCAAATTAAATATAGGATTTAAAGATACCTACATTAAGACCTAGACTATTTAATTTTTAGACAGTCATTCATTTCATCTTTGTGATTTTTATATGATTATTTTATTGCTTGAAATTATGTTCGCAATCACTGAGATCATTCTCTATGCTATTGATTCGGTAATTGAAATTCTCTTAAATTTTAGTTAAGTTTATTCATTTCGCTAGTCATACTTAACAAATTTCACATTATATAATTCTGAGTGAAGCTCTTGATCTTTAATGTCAAATTAGATAAGTACGTATGGAGCGGAATTAAAACCCTACAGAATTGCGTATGTTATTATTTAAACAAAATTTGGGCAATAAAGTCGACCTACATAATTTAAATATTGTTGTAAGCACTGCCATTGTAGATAAATTTAATAGTTTATAGTTACTTTAAGTATATTCATACAAATAAACGACTTAAAAGTTGAAAAGTTTTTATTTTTAAAATTCACTTTCAATTTATTTAAAGAAAAAAAGTGTTCCCATAATTTATCTAATGATAATAAAGTGCAGCATTGCGTTCGCCGAGGCGAGCATTTCTTTTTTTCATTGTAAATAAAAATAGCAATAAAAAACTGACCTGCCATGTTACATATATTTTATTATTCCAACAATTTCTGCGCTTTTGCTTCTAGATAATATTCAATCGTGGTAGGTAGTCCGTACCCTTAACTATTAGACCATTGGTTAGTGTTTACATACTACATAATTCCAGTTGTATGCCAAAGCTGTTTTTAAGCGCTACTGTCTTACTGTACTGGCATTGTGTAAACCAGACACAATGTTTATGGTCTGCAGTTCTGTCACTGTCATTGTTACATTTTTTCAACCCCTCAAGCTTCAAGATTTTAACTTCGAGACCAACTAATTTTCAACCAAAAAAGCGCTAGTCAAAAGTAAGAAACGGAAATTTGGAATATGTGTTAATATTATATAAATATAATATTTTTTACTGCCATACACGTGAAACAATAATGAGTAATTAAATTAAAATATAACATTGATTAAATACGACCAATATGTTCGAGTGGGCATATAGTGGTGCAAATAAGGCTGTGCCTAGAAATGTAGGTCCTGAATGTGCTTATTTTTTGTCAACTAAAAGACAAATAATTGAAACTGTTTTAGTATCATCAATATGCATCTACACATTAGTAAGTATCTATTGTTATAATGAAAAATATTGTCCTAATTTAATTACTCTTGTACCAACAAACCAACCTACGTAATTACCACATGTCTACCAACAAAAGTAATTACCACATGTATTGAAATTAATTCAGCTAAAGTTTATATGTTAAAAATGACATTCATTACATTTTCCTCCAATAGTTTCATTGTACATTGAATTGTTTTAGCTAAAGATCTATCCCAAGTTACAAATAACAGAGAAAAAATGTTATTCAAAATATGACAGAGGTGGTAAACGCCTGTTGGTGATCCTACTATCTTTACTGTGGGGAATGGAAATTGGGTTCAAGTTTGCTTCTAGAACTGTCATATACTTGTTGAACCCTTGTCATGTTACAACATTGATGCAGGTAAGTGAGTTTTTATGTATATATATATACAAAAAAAATCTGTTGTCACTTTAATTAAACTGTTTTGGTACACTACTTACACACAAATGTTTTTAAACTTAACATGGAATTCTTTTATTATTTTTCCATGTCATTGCCTCATTTTCTGCCTGCATTAAAGTGGAATTCCAAATAAGTCATAGTTTTTACTTTTGAAAATTTCTTATGTAATGTTTTACTAATGTTTCTTTCAGATCTATTTGCTGACCGCACCACCAAGTAACACGGTAACAACCATATTTCGTATACATTTGAATTTATTAAATGGACCATTACTTGCATTCCTATTTCCTGAAACAGCTTCAAGAACGGTAAGTTACAACTTATTATGAAGTATTATTGTTCATATACATTTTATGTTTATGTAATCATATTTTTGGTTATCTTTTCAGATTTTTGCTGAAGCAGCTTTATATTGGATACAACATGGAATGATGTTTGTAATACCATATTATTTACTGAGAATTGGAGGTACAATTTTAATCTTTTAATTTTTACAATTACAATCTTAATTTAGACCATAAGCCAATTCCTTTCATCATGTTTCATTTTATTTCAACTTTCCTTAGTAAAGTTGAAAACTTTGCCTATACTATTATGAAAATTAATAGTATCATGATTATGCTAATACAATTCTAATTGCTTTATATACAAACTGTGTCGTAAATATAATATACTCTTTATAACAAGTTAATTATATTCAAAAATATTTGTTTAAGGTGTGTACAATGTAGAACCATTTTGGGACTTCAATTGGTGTATCTTCAGCTACGCCCTAAATCTTCTTTACCATTTCATCGTTCTACAACTGATTGCTATTGTAAGTATTATTATATTAAGATACAAACCTTTATACTGATATATTACTTAACCAAATCTGTGTTTTTTATTGCTTAACTCTTAAAAATGTAAGACTAAATTGCTTCAATGATTGTTGGTCAATTCGTAGATCAGTCCACAGGTGACAAATTTTAACTTTTATTAACTTGATGATGTCATTTTATTTGCAGCCAGCTCAAGTGAACTTGAACCACATGCTATGTCCGGCCATATTGGATCCATTCGATGGGCCGTGGTATCGCACTGCGGCGGTCATACATCAAGCCTTGCTTTGTCCTTTGCTGTGTAAGATTTTCTGTCTCTTTGCCGATTTTTGCCTTACTAAATTTCCTCCAACAAAAGTGAAACCACAAATGTGTGACGTATTGCAAGGAAAGGATATGGTTGTAGGAGATCATAAGTCAATTGATTAGTGACAAAAGTAAGGTGTTTATGGTTTTGATTTCGCCGAAGTTAACCCTTTCAGGGTAGTTAAGAAATATATAAATTATTATTGCCTAATTTAGGAAAGTTGGTACTTTTAATGACGTCCATTTAAGGGGTTCTTATTAAGGTTGAAACAACCTTAAGGTAATTTTAGTAAAGTACAAAATGTTTATTATGAATGTATAATAAATATTTTCAAATATAATTACAATTCTCGTAAGACTATTACGAGAATTTAGATCTGGTATCATCTGTGATCATCTGTGTGGTTTAAATTATTTTGTACTTGTTGATTCTATTTTGCGATATAAAAACAAATATGAATTTTAAAATAATTATAGTAATACTTAAATACGCTTATGCATTTTAATCTAAATACAAATATAAAGGGATAAAGGTATCGTACATCAGTGGAAATTGACATAATCCTCAAGGAAAATGGTTTTACTGGACCATCTCCTTCGGATCCTTTTCAGAATGATGTCTATTAAACTAAATATATTTAAAAAAAATTTGACTATGGTTTATATTGGTGGAGGTTTGAACAGTATTACAGGCGAATAAATAATATGGTATACTAGGATTTTAAAACGGATATATAAAAAAAATACTGTATGTAAATCACAAAGCAATTGTAGTAATATTTAGTAGCGGTTGCTAGGATCTCAGAGACCTTACTTTTTAAAAATTAAAGCTTAGGGCTCACTAATTGTATTTATGTAGATTAGTGTGGAATATTTAATGTACACAGGAATAAAAAAGTACTAAAATCTTCTCATAAGGCACATATTTAATGGAAATGAAGTTGATGTTAGAAGAAGGTAGTTTGAAAAGTGTCTTTAAAAATTTCAGACAGTTTTAAACGGTAGCCAGTGATATCGCGTAGTGTTTTTTTCACAATTTAACTAAAAAAAATGTACCTGAAACCGTAAAAGGTGAAATAATTAACGGCTAGTGTTGGGCTGATTTTGAATACGAACAATGTTAAGGCGACGTACCGTTTGGTTGAACGCCGAGTGTATATTATGTTTGAAAAGATTGCCTAAAAAGTCTTTTATGTCTAATGATTTAAACTAAATTTAATGCACACGTTCTCTTTAAATATTCCTTTTGCAATAGAAATGTATTTTAAATTAATTAGAAAATAAATTCTGAATAATAATAGCCAAATGATTCTATTAATTTAGAAGGTTAAATAAATACGTTATATGCAGAATAAATTGTAGACATTATCGGTCTAATCTGCTGCATAAACTATTGATGAACGATGAATGATGACGAATCGTTGCCTTAAATACCCGGTTATCTACTAACAATACGCGTTTGTCAAATTATTTAATAGAATGCGACTTTATTTGATGCTTTTTTCATATAAATATCTTGCTATAAGATAAAATTTGTCCGGGCTTTAAAATATGCGGATACATCTGTACCTAACTGGAAAATTATTACAATTATTCCAAGCTTTAGAAACTTAAAACTAGGGGTATATAGTGCAATATGACACAGTGAGTGTTCAAAATACTATCGATTAACAATTTATGAAATACGGTTTTCATTTCAAGTCATAGTAAAACCAAAAATTGGTTTTAAACTTGCAATAGTTTAGGTATCGATAAAGAGTCAAATTAAATGAAATTAGTTAAACTATATTGTTACTTGCACTATAGTGTGATGAGTGAAGCTGTAACTCAGCCTTTCGTAATAAGAGCTAGAACCAAATTATATATTTAAAATTCAATAAATAGATTTAAGTGCTGCTCACCAAAGTGATATGACATGTGTTTGTTTTTATAATAAATGCCTTCTGCCTTACATTACCGTTTTTTTATTCTTACCTCCACATCTACGAAATTTTTCATAAATAAAATATAAATTTGCATTAAATCATGCATGTTGAAAGTTTATATCATTGTTTTTAAGGAAGGATTTTTTTATAATGACATGAGTTTTGAATTTATATTCATAGTACAGACTAAAGTTTAAGTAATGTTGCTAATAATTTCATGACGAAATTGAACCCTAGCAAGGACAACTTAAAAACCACAAATGAAAAATCAAAGTATTAAAACACAGGAAGAACTTGTACTTTTATTTCAGTAAATTTTAAATTACAGCCGGCGACATCAGCAAATAATACACGAGGATTACTCAAGCAGTCACACCTATATTAAAAGATTCCAATTCACTTTTACAACATGCAGCATTTTCGATGTAAAAAGTGACGTATTGAAATTTGCAATATTTATTTGGAATGCGTACGACCATTGCGCCCTTAAACCTATAAATGCAATTTTGTGAAACAAATAAATAAATAAAGAAAAAATAGTGTCCTTCGGGATTCCATCGAGTCTATAAAATCAGACAATAAGCATTCACAAATAAAATACAAACTATTTAAAAATCTGCTACAAAATTATCACACAAAATTGCTTAACAACTTGATACATAAATTATGACTAGAAATATATAATTATACAACAAAATATGACTTATTTATATGAGTAATTACAAAATACCTGTAGGTAAATACATAGCTCACTTATTTAAACAGTTAAATAAAACAAAGATTAGCAGAATGGAAAATAACACTTTTCAGAAAAGGGCATTAAATAATTCAAGCCGGTCGTAAACAGCATTTTCTCTTGTCAAGTGCATTTTACAGGTAAGCATTTACTACAAATGTGAAGTGATATTACAAGAATTATAAATTTTAGTATTTACCATGAGTTTACAGTTTATATTGCTGAAACAACTGGACATAAAATATATCAATCTCATTGTAGTCAAAAGCGAGCGATAACAAGATATTTTGCGTACAAGTCATCATTATCCTGCCCTACTCTACAAAGTGTCGACAATATGTACTACTCTTACATACATCTCAATCAGTCATCTTATCCGATATACTTTTGACGTATATTTTGTGTACTAGTATTTTTTAATAATGGGAAACTTTACAGTTAGATTTTTCATATGTCCAGCATTATTTAATAAATAGTTAAGTTTTGCTCATTTTATTTTTAATCAATAAATTCATGTATTTTGAAGATAAAACTTATACTTAACATTTACTAGATCTGCCACACAAGTTAATTCAGATCATTTAATTGAAAATTTACAAATAAAGTCTCAATCTTTAAATACAAAAAATTTACCTACATAGTGACATAGCAAATAATATTCTTTGCTTCGTTTGAAAGAATACATAATATCAATAAAATTAAGGCAACAAAAAAAGCATCTTATTTAATAGGAATGTTGTAAAATTGTTAAAATGACTAGAATTAATACTTAAGTACTCCTGATAATGAAAATTTCAACGGAAACAATACAACTATCACAACTAAAGATAAATTATATCACACTCTGTTAATTGGGGTAACATATCTAATCCAAAAATTATTAACCATCCATTGGAGGTCCCAAATACACCATAGACACCTCTGTGTTTCCATAAACAGCAGATACAGTTGGATACAACTTTCTATTTGGAAGGCCTGTAAAAAACATTTATTAATTAAGATCATAATATAATTAACATACCCATAACCAAAAGGGGTAAATTTATACTATAGTAATTTCCATCTATCAAGTTCGATTTGTGCTCGTCCAACAATACATCTGAATATGCATTCTTTAAACAGTTTTATCACCCTCTATGTGTGTCAAGCATTTCTAGTAAAAATAAATTATACTAACCTCGAAATGCAACTCCTAAAAATTCATAGCTCCTTTCAAATGACAAAGTGCCAATTTCACAATCTAAAACAACTCTTATCCTTTCTCCTACCTGTAATGGAAATAAAAAATAAATGTGTATATTGAATTGTGTTTCATTTAATGCAATAATTCCACTTAAGTCAAAGGAACCAAACCAGTAAGGACTAGAAAACTATTGCCTTTTTACAAAAATGTTACATCTTTCCTACAGCCACAACTATAGTAATCCACATGTAAATTTATATTTTAGTCTACATAACTAAAGCGTAAAATATTCATACCTGATATTTGGGGCAATTATTGAGTCGTGGATAGTGGCCCTGGGTTTGACCATTATGCAATAAATGATTATCAACTAAATTCCATCCCCAACTTTGTTCATCTGAACCTAACAGTCCCACATAACCCTGACACTGTAATGGTGCATCTCTAGTAGATATTCCAACAACAGCAACAGTTCCTAGAGGTCCTTCCCATATAACTTCCCAGGCATGTCGACCATGATAAAATCCTATCTTGGCTCTACAAGCATCAGTGCTTTGAGCCACTGGATTTCTGAAAATAAATAAGGAAAAATTTTAAGGTTTATATAAGCAGCACCAACCACACGTGAAGAGGATAATGCTAGATAGATGATGATGATAATACAATGAAAACTATTAATATTAACGTTTATGACACTTTTTAAATACCTGTGTAAAGTGAATCCATTTGGTTTTATGTGAATATTCCTAGAGCAATCTCGAGGACTCCATGCGTGGAAGTGTGCTCTAAGTTTTGCTTTATAGGTTTTAACTGATGATAGTAGATCGGATCTCAATACTTCTTCTGCCAGTTTTTTATGACAGTGATATCTCCATATTTCGTGGTTCTCATCACTAAGAATTCTATACCAACTTTTGCAAACTAACGAACAATTTCGTATATCAGATAAGCTTAAATATGAAAATATTGTTTCTAAAACGTATTCTGGTATTCTATATGATTTACGATGGTCATAATAATACATTTTTCGACTAGGTTGGTAATGGATATGCATTTATATGCTGTTTAAACTTGCTTTTGTGAATAAAGTAATTTAATATTATTTTATTTCCATTCAATTCACACAATATTGATATTGATAATAAATAATGGAACTAAAGTAACAACTAGTATATATGGTGCAGAAGAGTAATTTTTTGTTGTTTTGTTGCGCTCATTGCTTGATGCTGATTGGCTCTCAAGACCATAGACAGAATCTTTTGATTTTACTACCAAAGAGTAGATACACTAAAAGTGCTAATCCAAAATACCTTTCAATTAAATCAGTATAACCAAATTATAATTACATAATTATGTTGATGTGTTGTTACGATGTCATAATGCTATTAAGTTAAAATCTGTATTCCGGTTATGGTTTTACTGCAATAAGAAAGCAAATTATGCAAATACCATAACTTTGTTTTTGCTCTTTGAGCACAATCTAACCATAAGCAACTGAAAAACGAAGAATAATTTCCTATAAGTATTTGTGATTTTAATAAAGTCAATCTAGTCGAATAAAAATAATATAAAAATGCCGGCAACGGTAAACGATTTTGTCACTGATGGAGATTATATTATCATAAGAGCTAAGCAAGCGCAAAGCGAAAATAACATTTATTCCGCTAAGGCATGGATGCTTACTGCAAAAACCTTATTTCCAACCAATTTTAAAATACAATTTGAAGCCTATTTGATGGAAAAACAATCAGGAAATGTTCAAGAAGCAGCAGAATGCTTCACTTCTCTCTTGATGTCAAGACAAAATGTCTCAAAATTATTGCCTGAAATATTGTCGATTGCTAATGCCCTTAAATCTAATGAACCTAGTTTCTTAAGCCAAATGTTTGATAATATTTGTCCAGATATGCAGTTAACAATTCTTAAAACCAGTGTTGAAAATAGTGATGATACTATGGAACACTGTCGCTTGCTAGTTTTACTTCTTAAAAAATTTCCACAACTCGGCGTCGACAGTTTGGTGAAAACTTTGATTAATACTGACAAATTCCTCTATGATAACAGATACGCTCGTTTGTTAGTGGTGGAAACGTTACCCCTACTCAGTTCCTTGGAATCTCCAAGATTACTGCAACGTCTTATGGTTAAGGCAATAGATTTTTATAATTCTTATATGTATGATGAAACTGATAATGACATAACTGATCCTTGGCAAAGACTCTATGGGGTATTAGATCTACTGGGAAGACAGCTGGGCTGGGATACATATTTAGTTAACTACAGTAACAGTTTGAATAAAGAAACATACTTCCAAAAATTAATGTCTTTAAGAGGACATGAAGATTGTCGTGAGATTTTATATTGTGGAGTAACATTTTTTTTGAGGTCACTGTATGAACAAAAAACACTTAAAGGTAATCATATTCTTGTTGAAGCTTTGTCAGACCCAGATCAGCCACCATCTAAAAGAAGAAAAGGGGATATAGAAGTAACTGGAATATCAGCACATCAGTTTCAAGCAGCAGCAAATGCTTATGAACTTTTAAACAGTAATGAACTAATAGCCAGAGAGTTTATGAAATTAGTGTCACAATTGCAAGTCAAACCATGGACAGAAGGCTTCAGTGATGAAATAGCACTTTACAGGGGAAGATACGAAGATACTACTCCTCCAGCAACTTTAAATAATTTAAGCGCAAATATAATCAGAGTATCCATTAACTTTGCCCAAAAAAAATATTCACTTTGTATTGAAGCTATTTTAGCTGCTCTATCTCAACTCCCAACTGTAGAAGGTGTATTGGAAACAGATCTTATTGTTGGAGGCAAGCATAGACATCTGCATTTCTTACCACTGACAAAAGTTGCTATTGTGCACTATTTTTGTACATTACTAATTAGAATTCTTTTAAGTACTGGCAGTAATGCTGATTTAACTTACGGACATATTTTAGTTCTCATGCAACTCGGGTGGCCACAAGAGGAGGCAATTTTTATCCAAATTTTAGATATAATAAAACAGAAAGGTGTTTTTCATTACCATCTTTTTTCAACATACATAATACACATAGATTTTCTTGAAGAGCTTAGTTTCATTTGGAATGAACAAGGAAAAAATATAGCACTAGATATATTCACGAATTCCCAACATTTGGGACAAAGAAGGATAGGCACTCGTGGTGCTGACAAAGGAGTAAAAGAAGATTTTAAACAAGCTATGAAGACACAAGTTGCAAGATGTAATGAATCTATACTGAATTTGATTATACAATTTATCACTACGGAAAGATCATATCTTCTTCAAGTACTTTAAATTATTAATAAAATGAATAAAAGTATGAATAATAAATTTACTTTTATTTATACTTAAATTATAAAAATTACCAAACAATAAGATAACTGTCATAAATAATTTATGAACTACCTTCATATGTGCCCACTCCAAGCAAAAGGTTGCGCCGAGTGAAATGCAAGCTTTTTATTGGTGAATTTTTTGTTGCAAATGAACGCAACAAATACTTTTCGTCTTTTGACGTTGAGGCGGTACTTCCAGTTTCATCATTTACTATTTCTTCTGTTATTTGAGTGAAGTCCCACAGCTTTATGGTACAGTCTAGGGAACCTGAAAATATTGATAACATTAGTAAATACATGTAATGCAATAAATTGTAAACATGTTGAATGAAGACATAAATGGAAAGTATGCCAATAGACAAACCTGAAGATAAAATAGTTCCATTGCGACTGAAGGCTAAAGCGTGTATAGGCCCAGAGTGTGAGGGAGGCAGTGCTGCAGTCAGAGACCCATTGGATATATCCCACACAAGTATGTCGCCTACGGTACCGCCCGACACGATCCACCTCCCACACACCGAGAAGGCCAGAGTAAAAACAGTTGACTGGAAAGGATAAATTTTTTAAATATTACATAGTTCCTTATCTTACTATTATAGTATTTATATACAGTAATTAAAAACTTTGCAACTAATGAACTATTTAATTTAAAGATTGCCTTTAATGTATAAAACCAATGGTATATAATAATGAAAGGTAAAAGATGTAATGCACACTAACATTTTATGTTTCTTTGCAAGAAGATTTTTATCACATATATTAAATAGCATTTAAATTTTACCTTATGTCCACTCATAACGCGGACTTGGCTTCCTGTCAGACAATCCCACATCCTCACAGTTCTGTCACTAGAACCTGTTGCTATGTAATTGGAGTTCGGATGAAATTGAACACACTGCAATATGTATCAAATTATTTGAAATTAAATTACAAATAGTTATACATTTATATAATTCATATAAAATCAGTTATTACATCAACATCCGAAAAATGACCAGTAAATAAACGTAGCGACTGATAACTGTCTGTCGCCCATAGTCTCGCTGAACGATCATGGCCACATGAAGCAAAGTAGTGGCCATGGGGTGACCACTTCACATCCCAAACTGGCCATGTATGACCTCGGTATACCACGAGGCACGTCCAAACGTGCAGTGACCACAGTCTTACTGAAATTGATTCAAAATTTTACTACCAAAATAAAATTATAAAACATTAAGTACTATTGTTGGGTCTTGTATGCATTATTGGACTTTGAATCAGTCTGGCTGTACAATTATTCAACTAAAGCACAACCAATTTTATGTTTTTAAAATTATGGAGTAATAATTAAAGCCTAGAAGTACTTAAACTGGAGATAAATTAATAAGTATAGGGTTAACTTACTTGTACTATCTTCTGAACATGATAAAAGCATTGTTTTGAAAAGATCAAACCCAACTTTGTACACAGGTCCAGAATGACCATAAAGTGTCCTACATGTGTCTCTGTCTCTTTCTTCCATCATTCTCACTAAAACATCCCCTGAAAATAAACATCAGTTACAATTAGTCCAATAACATTCCATGGCACAACAAATTTTACATATGAAAATGGACTTGCTAGTCGAACTGTGGCACTGAATGTGGAATCCTCCTGCTCCGGTCTAAACTTTTCCAAGTACTTGGCAGCATGTTCATTATGGTCATATATGAGAAACAAATACTGGATAAAGTGGAGTTGATAATTCATACTGAAAAATTAAATATTAAAAATATTACAAACCTGCTTCTTTATCAATATCTTGCAGCTTATCAGCAGATTTCATACCACGCAATCTAACTGGTGTAAGTGTCCAAACCTGCAAAAAAATTCAGAATATAAATAAAAAAACTTTAATATAGGAAAAAGAACTAGCACATATGTTACATTAGTTTTTTATTTATTCAAACTAATTGTATTTACCTTTATAATTGAATTGCTAAAACCAACAGCAAGCAAAGTGGAATCGTCACAGATGTCCGCACAGATAGCACTATGACCACTGTTCAAGAGTGTGTAGAAACATATAGATGGGAGACAATCTGGCCCTAATGGCACTCGCTTTGCGCGCAATGCTTTTACTTTCTCAATTTTGTCAGTCTCTTTTCTGCAAAAAAACAAAGGATATGAACATTGATATAGCTATGTATATATATTTATATATTTGTATATATTTGTTTGTGTCTGTACATTTGTAAATGATTGAACAGATTTCCATGAAATTTACAGTACTTTCAGGATGTCAGACATTTCTTTACATTTTTCTATGAAATATATATCTATTTGATAGTTTTTAGTGTTAAAAACTTGTTATTTTCCACTTACAATTCTGGGAGTGGTATTCTGTCAATAGGTGGAGCATTTGGGTCAGATTTTGGCTTTTTCATATACATATTTTCTTTCTTAGCTTTCTTCTTCTTAGGTTTGTCTGGTGTTTCTTCAGCTTCTTCTTCATCTTCAGCTGGTACTGGAAACACTTCTATTTCTGGTTCTTTTAATAGCCCATAATAAACTTTAGCACGATTCTCTAAAATGAAAACACATATATAAAATATATTGATTCAAATCAATGTTTAGGTGTAATTGGATTGGATTCAGGATTTTATTCTTTGTAGTCTAATCGCCCCAATGGAAAAATTATCCTGTTGAGCAAATGAATCTGCCCAATGGGCCCCTTTATTGATTCTATAGACTCATTCACACATATGAAAAAATATTCCCATTGTTCCGATCAGCTTACAGATCAATCATCCATATGTTACTCTGCCCAAAGTTGTTTGGTGTGTATTAATTATATCTCATGGTCAAATTGTTACTTAATCAATTTTTTTTAACTGTAAAGGTTTGAAATTCTGATAGATTTTTAGTATTAATACAAGTTGATATAGTTTGAGGCAAAAAGTTGGTTTATATTTTCTAATCAATTAATTTGAAAAACTTGATTTATCAAAATAAATCTAAGTTAAATATTTATATATAGTATGCTAACCATTTCTTGTAGCTTCCCCAAGTAGAC